CCTTTTTTTTTGGGGGGTTTCAAAAGGTTTTTTTTAAGGGGGGGTTTCCAGGCCCCCCCCCCATAACCGGGGGGACCCACCCCCCCCCCCCCCCCCAAAAACCCCCCCCCCCCCCCCCCCCTTTTTTTTTAAAAGGGGCAAACCCCCCCCCCCCCCCCCCCCCCCCCCCCCCCCCCCCACGTGTGTGTGTGTGTGTGTGCCGCCGTCTGGTCCTGGTCCGACTCAGGCGGAACGACTGCTGGCCTCCAACAACCCCAGCAAGTTCAAGGTGCACACCCTGTTCTCCGTGGCTCCCGGGAAGATCGAGGGCTCCGCGCCCGCGGCCGGTGGGAACGGGGGGATGGGGATGGGAGGGGCTCCGCCGCTGCCTCCTCCTCCTCCGGTAAGTATTCGGGCCCCGTATGATCGACGACCTTACCCGTGTCATCCAACAGCAGAGTTTGTAGTAGATGGGGTTGATGCGGGGTGATTTCCATGATCCCGGCTGGGTGTTTTGTTTCGGCGGTGCTGCAGGTTATTTGAACGCGTGCGTACGCTGTGTTTTTGCGTGGCTTTGGTGTGTGGAGCGTCCGTGTTCCCGTGTATGGGATGTGTGCTCGGTTGCCCCGGTTCGTTTTTTTCTGAACTAGCCGGCCGTATCTTGTGTGTGTGTGCTGCAGATGGCATTGTATCTCGTTCGCGTGGCGCTTCTTCTGCCGTTGTGCATCTATTCTATCGGTACATGCCTAACGTCCCTTTCTTCAACCGCCTTGTTGTTGGCATGTTTTGTATCTCTCGCTCCATCCCTCTCTCTCCCTCTTCTCTCTCTCTCTCTCTCTCTCTCTCTCTCTCTCTCTCCCCCCCCCCCCCTCTCTCTCTCTCTCGCTCTCTCTCCCTCTCTTTCTCTCTCTGTCTCTCTCTCTCTATCCCCCTCTCCCCCTCGCTCTCCCTCTCTCTCTCTCTCTCTCCCTCTCTCGCTATCTCCCTCTCCCTCTCGCTCTCCCTCCCTCTCTCTCTCTCTCTCTCTCTCTCTCTCTCTCTCTCAATCTCTCTCTCTCTCTCTCTCTCTCTCTCTCTCGCTCTCGCCCTCTCACTCTTTTTGCACACAAGGACGAAAGGGTTCCATGCCGCCGCTGCCGCCCCTTCCCCCGGGGATGCCACCGCCGCCTCCCCCGTCTCCCGGAATGCCTCCCCTGCCCCCCGGATCGATGCCCGCCTTCATGCCTTTTTCGGGGGGCCCGCCGCAGCCGCCGCGGGGGGGGGGAGGGATGCCCCGGGGGATGCCGCCGCCGCCGCCCCCTGGGTACGGAAGGGGTTACCCGCAGCACATGGCCCCGCAGCACATGATGCCTCACGTTGGGATGCGGCCTAACATGGGCATGCCGATGGGGATGCAGGTGTGTACTGTACGGTGGTGGCGAGGGGCGGGGGATGTTTTTTTTTGGCAAGTTTGGTGCAAGTGCAAGGCGGTGGGAGCTTGTATCAGTGCCGCTGTTTTGGTGTTTTTTCAAAGGACAAGAAGGGAGCATTAGAGAATTCGGAACTTTTCGCCCCATGCTTTCTCCGGACCGTTTTTTTTTTGTGTGAATTTCTGCTGGCTGGTGATTTTGCTCACTTGCCCCGTTTTTTTGTGGAGTGATCGCTGCTGCTGCTGCTGCTGTTGCTGCTGCCTGTCCTCGTTGTGATGTTGATTGGTACCGTACACCGCTTATGCTGCCTTAGCGTCTCGTCAGTAATGCTCTCTCATTTGTCTCGTACCCTTGCTCGCTCCGTGCTTTTCCGAATGGGTGCGATGTTTACTCGCCCTGTCCATGTGTACCGTGCGGACACTTTCAAACCGCCATCGCCTCCAAATCTCCGTCACCTCGCACAGCGAGGAGGGGGAGGCTACAACATGTACGGGGGCCCGCCGCCGCCGCCCCAGCAGATGATGGGCATGCCCCCACCGCCCCCGAACGCAGACATGGGCCGCCCACCCCCGCTCCCGCCGAGCCAGCAGCCGCCCCCGCCACCCCCCGCATCACCTTCTCCCGCGTCAGCGCCGCCGCCGCCGCCGCCGCCGTCTTCCTCCGGTAGTTCTGGCCCTCCGCCGCCGCCGCCGCCCTCGGCGGGTAGCAACAACGGGGCCGGCGGCGGCAGCGGCGCCCCCCCCCCGCCCCCCGTGGCAAACGGCGGGGCTCCTCCTGCTGGGGAGCGGCCCGACCGCCGAGAGGGAAACGGGCCGCAGATGGGAGGAGGGGGAGGGGGGCGAGGGCCGCCGCCGCCGCCACCGCCGCCACAGCGAGAGATGGGAGGAGCAGGAGGTGGGCGACAGACACTTCCCCGCGGCTTTTAATAGCGAGCGATGGTCCTGGTGTTGTTGTTGACAGCCGTTGAGTTTGTTCGTTTATTTCTGTCCGTGCGGTAGTCTTCCTGGTCCGGGGAGTTTGGTAGACGGATTAGAGAGTTGCAGCACATTCTCGTTAAATCCAAAAAAGCCGGCGGCATGCCCGCGGCGAGGTGTTTCGGCCCCGTTCT